TCAGCTACGTGTGACCCCGCAAATTTAAATTCAGCTTCCCCGTACCTGCGGGTGACGCGTACGGACCCGTGAAAGTTTTTCACGGATAAGTTAATATCTCGGGAACCACGGAGTCTAGGAGGCTGGAATTTTAAGGGAATGACCCCCTGTCCCCGCTCAACCTTGACCATTCAAACTCAGCGTTCTCGCGCACTCGGGTGCCACCTACGGCCTCGCGAAAGTTTTGGAGGGTAAACTGTTAACCCGGGAATCACGGAAAGATATTCTTCAATGTTTCGAATTCAGCTTTTATACGCTGGTGCGTGAAATTTTTACTGTTTTCCAATGATTGAACTATTTTTGTATAGGCTAAAGTACAAAGCAGTGAAAATCATTAATAGGCAATCGTTCGATGGGTTGAACTGCACAAAAAGCATGATTGCACCGGCTAGTCTGGTGCACGTTGCCATTTATTATAAGATCGGCGCAAACACAAAATGTCCATCTCCGCGGCTGCGAAGTGACAAGAGCAGCAGACGAGTAAGTCCAATGTGCCATTTCATCAAAATGGGATAGGTCTCGAGCGCATGCGTAAGTTATAACAAATAATGCTCCTCTCCACTACTCATCACCCAGCTTATTATGTTATTGTTAAGAAGAATCAATCGTATCCGATGTTAGAGAGCTCACCTTTTCGGCAAACGTTTCCTGCAAACGATGCAGTTCGGTCATTTGGCTTTCCAGTTTTTGGATGTCGTTGTCCACTTGCAGTGATTTCGAATACAACCGCTCGTTCTCGGCCAAAAGCTGGCCACGCTCACTGCTATCCAAATCATCCAGTGAAGTCGCTTCATTTACATCCGAATTTTCCTCTTGCAGCAAATCCGAAACACACACATCCATCCATCCATTTTGCTCCGGCTTCCTCTCTTGCCTTTCAAGCGCGCCTCAATTAACCGGAACTGGTGAATGAAATTAACGAAAGTAAGAGCAAGCAAATAATCTCAGAAATCTTGAACTTCTCCAAAGCCCAGAAACTGGATTTATAAAAAAAACTCCAAGTCAATAAGTGTTGAGCAACATCAAGGACATTTCGAAACGGATGAAGCACAGTCAGCTACTTCTGGCGGAAGTGGCTGTATTCCGATAATTTCTTGGGGAGGCGAGACGAATGCCAGGATCACTAACAATTTGATCAGCAGGCGATGCAGCAAGGCTAAATCAACTATAAAAATTGCCAGTTTCACGGATAGGAAACCATAGCACAGTTGCTCCACGCGAAAAAAACACTGGACGATCCTGCGGTTGTACTAAGGAGGAAATTGAATAGCACCTCAAGATATACTGAAGTGTTTTTTGCAGAAAGCAAACTCACTGATAAATAGAAAAACACAACAAAAATCTGTCTACACTCGTTCATAAAAAACAAAAAAAAAGATGCTTAAGACATACTCGAAAGCGGTGCTCCTCTTTTTCTTAGTCCTTCGCTAAAAAGTATGTCATCCCTGAATGAATCAGACGGGAATGCTATTTTCGGGGGCTCGTTTTCTGAATTTGTACTCACTGTCTGCTCCAATCGCATTTCATCCTCCTGCTTCATACGGTACAGCTGGGCCAACGTAGCTAACCTGGATAATTCATAAATTAAACAGCTTCTTCAAATGTCTGTGTATTAATATGAGCCAAGAACCAACTATTGCCTGAATCCCTGGGCACGAAGACTGTAAGACAGTGGCTACCAGGGAGCTTAAATTCTGCAGAATCGCAGATGTCGCTGGTCAATTTGATTGTAAATACAGCGTAGCTCAGTTCAATGACGCCGAGATAAAACATTAGTAGACGAGTGTGAAATGTGGCCACTCGCAAAATCTTTAAAATGGGAGCTCATCGTAACGGGTACAAAGAATCGGCCGAAAATTCTTGGAGTTTTACGATAAAATACAACGGGTTGAAATTCTCTTGGGGGCGAGTAAGTGCTGAAACACGGCAGGCGAATCAGAAAACGCACAAGCGGTCAGCAGGTTAGGCAAATCTGTGAATGGAAAATGAACGGCCTTCAGATGACTTCCAAGGAGACAGTGATAAAGAAAGCAAGGGATGAATGCGGATGGACGGTGTCAGAATGGCAAAAATGCCTGAAACTGCTGTGTGGCTGCATTTCAAGGACATCAAAATACCTAACAGGGAAGTTCTGACAATCAAATATCTCTGGAAACAGCGACTAGATACCTGCACTTGCGTCCCATGTTGCTTCGTTTCTTTGTTCGCAGGGCTCTCATCTCTGCAACCAGCTTTGCAATTGCATTCAAGTATTTCCCCAGAAGCCGAAGGATCTGCAACGAACGGGAGAATGCTCAAAAAACAGCTCCCCTGCGAATTGCGCACTTTTTTCAGCAAAGTATTGCATGTGCTGACTACAGCACGACTTTGGTAGCTCACTTAATCAGTAAAAAAGCGTGAACAGAGATTTTTAAGGTAATTTATAATTTTATATGAAATTTCGGAAGAACAAAAAGTTTCGCAGTGTAAATACGTTTTTCCTATGTCACTACTGTTCATGTCAGTGTTACTGGGAAATTGGGAAAGGTCTGCTTTGAAT